GGCTCTTTGACCGGAATGCACCAAGCAAATCATTATTCGACATCAACGAATGACAAATCCAAGACCACAAACCACAAGAATCCACACAGGAGACTCGTGAACGAATAAAGCTTGGTTTCTCCTCTTGCACCAATTGCGAGAGGCGCAATCCTTGCTACATGGATCGTTGTCGATCCTGCTTCGGCTCTTTGACCGGAATGTACCAAGCAAATCATTATTCGTCGCAAAAAAAAAACAGCTCCTGGACCTTTTGTCACTGTCGCGGGCGATCCGTGGTTTGAGGCTACCCATGGTGAAAAGAACAAGCGGAAGGAGAAGAAGCGACCGAGACGGGAGAGTCTGCAGAACACGAAAGCGACTAGAGGCCACACATGCAATATAGGCCTATATGTAAAGCGCGTGTCCACACATGCAATGTAGGCCTAAATTGCATGTGTGGTTTGAAGCCACACATGCAATACAGGCCTATATCGAAAGTGCGTGTCCCCACATAACATATAGGCCTATATCCAAAGGATACGGTGTGGCCTCAGTCACTTCGCAGTCTGTGAGCAAGTATTGGCCTTGAGGCCAATCGCTACCCCACCATGCGGACTCGACACCTCTTCACCGCCTGCCTTTCGTTTGCGCCCCTCCCTGCCGCCAGCCGTGGTCCTGCTCGATTCCTGGCTCATGGCGAGGCTCAAGACACTGTGCTGAGCATTTGCAGCAGCGGGAACAGACCCAGACGCAGGTTGCGGCTCAGCCTCTAGTCTAGCTTCAGGAACAACGCTGGGCTCAGGCATGGAATCGGGCACGGGTCTACCCTCACCGGGAAGAGACACAACGAAAGCGGGCTCAACACCGGTAACAGTTTGCTCCACACCGGACGGGCCGGCAGCCGCCTCGGCAGTGGGCAAACTCGCACCTGATGGCCCGACAACGACAGCCTCAGCGCTGTCCGCCACTCCAGCAGCAGTGCCCGTGTTTTCGTCGGGCACGAGTTCATTTTCAGCAGACTTCGTATCCTCAGACAACTTAGAGGTCGGGCTGCCTTGTGCGACCTTTTCTTTCCGCTTTGGCGTTTCGCACGCAAGCGTGCCGCCGATGTCTGTCAGAAGCCTCGTGGCGATGCCCTTAGCGCACTTGGTGTTTATCTCCACCACAAGGCAATTCCGATTTGCCTTGACGCACGCTATGGCGCCTGTGCCTGAACTGGAGAAACCATCCAGAACGCAGGCCCCTGCGGGAGAGAATTTGTTCACAAGCTAGCAGTACAAAGTATACGGCTTCTGGTACGGCCAGAGAACACCGCCACCAGGGTGCTGGTACTTCTGCGTCACAGCATTGAAGAGCTGGAAATTGTGACGCATATCAGTGGGATCAAAATTGTAATGTGCCATCTCGCGCTGCCCACTCTCACTGTAGTAGCCCAGCACACAGAATCCGGTCGCACTCACAAGCCGCGGCCCACCCGGATTCGTTACATTAGGCTTGCACCACGTCAAAAGCTCCTGCCCTGCATTGCAAACCTCTCGGAACGCCGAACGGATGRAAGGAAGCATGTCCACGGAACAGAATCCCGCAACTGTCCACAACGGGGCACAGAAAACGTCCTTCAGATTGTGAAGAACCTCCACAACGTCCGACTTCAGAAACGGCTCATTATCAGATGCGTGGCCGTCGTGCGTGAACCCGTAAGGGAAGTCGAAAATAGCCAGAGATATCGGCAACTTTTTTATCTGCAGCGTCGACAACAAGCGCATGACGCCATTGATAATTTTCACTTCCGCCGAGTCGTTGTCGTGTGTCACCTCCGTCCACTCGACGAACGGTTCCACGAGAGGTTTCGTACGGAACGCGTGAATAACGTTCTTCGCTTGCAGTCTCCTCTCCTTGTTCTTCCATTCAATGACCCGTTTAATATGGCCATCCAGTGCGGGGATACTCGTTTGACCCCTTCTGATGCCACCAACGAACTTCTCCAAAATCTCTTTCTTTGTGTGGAAAGGATACTCCTTCTTGGCGTCCTTGAAGTCAGCAGCGCCCACCCCCACTGCGAATGCCTTGCAGACGTAGGCGATTTGCTTGACACGTTGGAACTTCTTCTCCATCTCCTTGAGCGAGATCTGCTTCGCAATGACCTCAAGGAGGATAGGGACGACGTTCTCTGGAGCCATACTACCCATGGCTATCCAGTGTTGCGCTGGCATGTCCTCGGCGACCAGGGGGACCTTGTTACCCTGCAGTTGCACCCATGGATAAAGAAGCGCTATTTCTTGTTCCTTCGCAGCCGCCCTATCAAGCCTCTTCCCACGCTGGCTTTTCTTCGCGCCCTCGGACTCGCTCGTTTCAGATTCCTGGTCCGCTTTCAAGAAGCTCCTCGCAGCCGGCTTCAGTTTTTGACCTTTGACCTCGCCCTTCTGCCACATGCTCATGATCTGACACATGAGCTCCCAAATCTCTTGGGGCTCAAAGCACACTGCAGCAACGGGTCTTGGGCGTTCAATTTCTTTGCCGCGTTCGGAATCCCTGCTTCTTTCAGGCAAGCGAGCTTCACTTCTTGCGACTTGACGCACCCCCTGCTCTCAAGGACTTGGCGCCAGCACCTGAGCTTCTCGATGAAGCTCAAGTCCCTGTGGTAACCCGCCGCAAGGTTATGCCTGTGGGCAACCTGCCTCGCCTCATCGATCGTGAGCCCAACGTAAACATAGCACACATTGTACTGGTACTCCTCGTTGTCGGGGTTCATGCGTGCTAACCGCTCCCCCGCTTCCCGACTGTGGCCACCACCAAGCACAAAAATGTCGTAGTCGCCGACTCTCAGTTTCGTCAAGCTCACGTCTTCTTTGCGCCCGGCCTGGGTAGGGTCGACGAGGCCAACGAAGGGAAGATGATCTCCAGTTGGCTGCTTCAACATGGAGTCCATGATGGACTTCACATGGTCCTCGTCCGACTCTCTCACCTCCATTGGTCTTTTCCCATTCACCAGGGGTGGCCTCTTCAAACATCTCATCGGCAGGTAAAAGGACTCGTGTGAAAGTTTCTTCTCCTTCAAACTCTTCAAATCCTCCCAAGTTTTTGTCAAATCTTCTGTGCGCTCGTTCGGCACGAAACCTTGGGGTACTTGGAGTTCCTCTTCCCTTCCCTTCCCCTCCCCTTGCCCTTCCGGACGAGGCGGACCCGGTGTGACTGTTTTCTTCCCGCGAATCTTACCGGGAATCGTCTTTGTGCCCGATCCCCTTTCCAGACTACCGGAAGACCGGACAATGGTTTGAGGAGAAATCACATCTTTGGGGCGCTGCGACCTCGCTTTCGAGCCACCCTTCGTGGTTGTCGTGGTCGTCGTCGTCGTCGGAGTTTGTGATTTTTCTGCTTCCTCTGCGTACTTTAAAGGAATAAGTTTCTTGTCCAAATTTGCCCGTAAGAACTCAGAAAGTCCTTCCACGAACGGTTGCGCAACACATTGGAAGCAGAAGAAAAAACAATGGTCGACCAAGTGTGTCAGAGAAACTTATAGGCCTATAATACATACTTAGCGCAACACTGCGTACGACAAGTGCAATAAAACAACGCAAATGTGAAAAAACATTACAGACCTGCAACCTCAAAGAGTCAAACTTCTGGAAACAAGGAGGACGCAGTCAATGTTATAGTCCTATAACTTCCCAGAAACAAGGAAGATGTAGTGGAAGTTACAGGCCTACAACTGTCGGAAACAACATGGAGGTTATAGGCCTATAACTTTTGGAAAGGCCATGGAGGTTCAGGCTCGTAACTTCCGCGGCGTATCTGGTAGTTAAAGGCCTACAACTTCCACGGCGTTACCGGTAGATATAGGCCTATAACTTCCACGGCGTATCCGGTAGTTATAAGCGTATAACTCTCGGATACGCCGTGAAAGTTTTAGGCCTATTCCTTCCGGTTACACCTTCAAAGAAACGGAATAAAACTTGCAGCTCTACAACTTCCTGCAAAGAGAGATATGCAGTGGGAATTAGGGGAGATGAGAGCATTTACCATGCAACCAGTCTTGTCTAATGCCAACAATTTCCTGTTCTGGATGGGCATCTTCATGGGCATTAATTTATCCCCCTTCAACTGACATTTAGTGAGCTTGCCCTTGATAACGACCCACAACTTCGCGATGAGATATTTTTTCGTCAGGTGCGCTGCAAATAAAATTTCGCCGATTTGTGCATAGACACCGTTGCCACTGGTCTTGACGTGAAGATAAGTTAATCCAGCTGTGACGTACACGGCCCAAAAGAAGTACTTGAAGTCGCTGCGAGCAGGCCTCGACTCGAGGAACTCTCTCTGCAAGTTGCCGTCCTCCTCCATTGGATGTTCTTCCTCGTCCTCTTCCTCTTCTTCTTCTTCTTGTTCTTCTTCTCCTTCTTCTTCTTCTTCTTCTTCTTCTTCTTCTTCTTCTACTCCTTCCTCTTCCTCTTCCTCTCCCTCTCCTTCCTTTTCCTCTCCTACACCTTCTCCTGCCACGAACTCTCCTTCTTCTAAAACATATTCTTCCTCATCTCCTTCTCCCATTTGGGAAAAATCATCCTGCTCCGGTGGCCGCCTTTGCTGCACAACCCCTCAGAGCACGCCGGCTGCCCCCGAGAAGACACTGTGCCAGTTCTTCTTGCACTCCTCCCCTTGCTCGCACCCCTCGCGCCTTGGGATGTCTTCATCGTCACGAATGGACTGCACGCAAAGAGCCATCCAAAACAAATGTCAACCACGGTAAGACTGGTTATAGGGCCCTAGCACCCCTGCTTGTTTTGCCCGTGTGTCTTTGTGCCCGTGTGTGTCTGTGTGTGTCTCCCTGTGCTCGTGTGTGTCTGTGTGTGTTGCTCTTCGTGTGTGTGTGTGTCTGTGTGTGCGTCGTTGTTTGTGTCTGTGTGTGTGCCTCTGTGTGTGTGGCAGGCAAGTCAAAGGTGCTTGTCGACCATAAGCACTTTTGGGACCACTTCCAGGCCTTTGTTTTCATGTGTGTCTGTGTGTCTCTGTTTGTGTGTATGGCTGTCTTTGTGTGTGTGTATGTGTGTCTGTGTGCCTCTGTGTGTGTGGCAGGCGTGTGTTTGTGTGTGTGTGTGTGTGTCTGTGTGTTTTTGTGTGTCTAGTTGTGTGCGTCTGGGGAAACTGATTGACAATACAAGCCTGTGTCTTTATGTCTTTATGTCTGTGTGCGTCTGGGGTAACTGGTTGACAATACAAGTCTGTGTGTGTCTGTGTGCGTTTGGGGTAACTGGTTGACAATACAAGCCTGTGTCTTTAGGCGAGAGTGATTTAATGCCTGTGTTGGTTCTGGGGAAACTTTTTGACAATACAAGCCTGTTCTTGTGTTCGTGTGTGTGTCTCTGTGCCTGTGTTCTTGTGTGTGTGTCTAACAGTGATTATAGGCCTTTGATTTTATTGGGGAAACTTTTCAGCACTTCAAGCCTGTGTTTTCGTATGTGTCTGTGTGTGTCTCTGTTTGTGTGTGTGTGTGTCTATATCTGAATGTCTGTGTGCCTGTGTTCTTGTGGGCGTGCCTGCGAGTGTATGTTTGTGCCTTTGTGTGTGTGTGTGTGCGTGTGTGTCTGTGTGTCTCTAACTGTGTCCTTGTGTGTGTGTGTGCGTGTGTGTCTGTGTGTGCGTGTACTTGTGTTTGCGTGTGTGTGTGCGTGTGTGTGTGTGTGTGTGTGTGTGTGTGTGTGTACCTGTGTTTGCGTGTGTGTGTGTGCGTGTCTGTCTGTGTGTGTTTAACTGTGTCCTTGTTTGCGTGTGTCTGTGTGTGAACTCAACTGCCACAGACGAAAGTGGTTAAAGGCCTACAACAGTTCTGGGAATGTGCTTGCGTTAGTCTGAGCCACTGTGCACAGACAGACACAGGCACGAAAACAGACAAAAAAAGACAGACGCACACAGACACGGGCTGTGTCTGTATTCGTGTGCGGTGCACAAAAAGACATTCGAACACAGACACGGATTGTGCATGTCTTTGTCGTTGTGTGTGTCGGTGTGAGTGTATCTATGTGTGTCTAACTGTGTCCTTGTGTGTGTGTGTCTGTGTGTTTGTGTGCCTGTGTTCTTGTGTATGTGTCTACCTGTGATTAAAGGCCTGTGATTTTCTTGGGAAAACTTATCAGCACTTCAAGCCTGTGTTTTTGTGTGTGTGTGTCTGTGTGTGTGTCTGTGTGTGTGTCTATGTGTGTGTCTGTGTGTGTGTCTGTGTGTGTCTCTGTTTGTGTGTGTGTGTGTCTCTCTCTGAACGTCTGCGTATGTCTGTGTGCCTGTGTTCTTGTGTGCGTGCCTGTGAGTGTATGTTTGTGCCTGTGTCTGTGTGCGRCCTCAGACACAAAAATATGCGAAGGTGCTTGTAGGCCTTAAACACTTTTGGGACCGCTATCAGGCCTCTGTCTTTATGTGTGTCTGTGTGTCTGTGTTTGTGTGTGTGGCTGTTTGTGCGTGTGTGTGTGTGTCTGTGTTTGTGTGTGTGGCTGTCTGTGCGTGTGTGTGTCTGTGTGTGCGTGTACCTGTGTTTGCGTGTGTGTGTGTGCGTGTGTGTCTGTGACTCTGTGTGTGTGTGTGTATCTATGTGTTCTCGTGTCTGGTTGTGTGCGCCTGTGCCTGTGTGTGTTTGGTTGTGTCTGTTTGTGTGTGTCTTACTGTGTCCGTCTAACTGTGTCCTTGTGTGCGTGTGTCTGTGTGTGAACTCGACTGCCAGAGACGAAAGTGGTTATAGGCCTATAACAGTTCTGGGAATGTGCTTGCGTTAGTCTCTGCCACTGTGCACAGATAGACACAGGCACGGAAACAGACACAAAAAACCATACGCATACAGACACGGGCTGAGTCTGTGTTCGTGTGCGGTGCACAAAAAGACATACGAACACAGACACAGATAGTGTCAGTATGTCCGTTTGTGCCTCTGTCCGTGTGTGGCCGTGACCGTGTTTCTGTGCGTATGTCTGTGCGTGTCTTTGTCGTTGTGTGTGTCGGTGTCCGTGTATCTGTGTGTGTCTAACTGTGTCCTTGTGTGCGTGTGTATGTGTGTAAACACGACTGGTGCAGGCCAAAGTGATTATAGGCCTATACTGGTTCTGGGGAAACTTTTTGTCACTACAAGCCTGTGTCTTTGTGTCTGTGTGTGTCTGTGCCTGTGTTCTTGTGTGTGTGTCTACTAGTGTGCGTCAGTGTCTATCCCTGTTTGTGTGTCTGTCTGTGTCTGCGTGTCTGTTTGTGTTGTGTAAACACGACTGTTTGTGCGTGTGTGTGTCTATGTCTGCATGTCTGTGTATGTCTGTGTTCTTCTGTGCGTCCCTGTGAGTGTATGTTTGTGCCTTTGTTTGTGTGACGGCCCCCTTTCTACCGGTGCTTCGAGGTTTGATTTTTGGCAAGACTTTGGTCTTAGCATGGGACGTTGGACCCGATTTTCAAAACAGTAGTCGGGATGGACCTGGAATAGAGGTAGGTCAGCGAGCCTGCATTGTAAGCAAAACTGGCTGATACTGCCAGGGTAACTCTTGGTTGAATTGGGAGGTCCCCAGCCTCGTCCCAGGTTTTCGCTGTAATGAAATACTGAATATTTTCCCAAAAAAAAAAAA